TAAAAAATTTTATAATTTTATATTTTTATAATTATAAGGGCAATATTTAATTATTAAAACAGTGCTCGATATCTGCCTTTCAATTTATCAAAATTTTATATTAGTTTTGGAGGATTACCTTTCGTATTATGTCAGTGTTTTGGTATATAAAATCTCAGTAAGACATTTGAATTACCAACTCGCATATACTAAAAAAGGAAACGCTTTAGAACAAGATGTTGAATGATGAAATATAAAGAAAATACACTTTTCTGATTGTTTACCCAACGACACTTTTCTGATTGTTTAATCGTTATTACCCAACGACTTCTATCTATCTAATTAGCCTTCTTCGGTCCATCTTTTCACATAGGCCTCCCCAATCCTTTTCCATTCTTCTCTGTCTGTCGCTACAGTCATCCACCTAGAGCCCACGTGCTTCTTGATATCATCTGCCCATCTCATTTGGGGCCTTCCTCTGCTTCGTTTATATTCCCATGGTCTCGAACTTATAAGAATTTTGTTCCATCGGTCTTCTTTTTGCCTTATATTGTGTCCGGCAAATCTCCATTTCAATTTTGCAACTTCTTGTCTAACATCCCTCACTTTTGTTTTCTCTCTTATCCACTCGTTTCTCTTTTTATCCATTAGTTTTATGTGCAACATTTGTCTTTCCATTGCTCTTTGGGTTTTTATGATTTTGTCCATGTTTGCTTTTGTAAATGTCCACGTTTGGAAGCCGTAAGTAAGAACAGGGAGTACGCATTGATTGTATACTTTGGTCTTAAGATGCTGTGGATATCTTTTGTTTTTAAGAATGTAGCTTAGTTTGCCAAATGCCGCCCATGCAGTCTAACTCGTCTCTTTATCTCTGCTGTTTGGTTCTCTTTGTTAAGTTTTATAGTTTGACCAAGATATATATAATCCTGAACTTGTTCTATTTCATCTTGTCCGATTCTCATTGTGATGTCTTCATCTGTATTTGTTATGGTTTTGGTCATGCTGTAATTCATATTAAGGCCTATCTTTCCAGCTTCTACGTCCAGTTCTTTCATCATTTTAAATATTCTTTCATCTTTTTATCAGTTATCAATACGATATCATCAGCGTATCTTAGATGGTTCAAGCGTTGTCCACAAATTTTTATACCTTTTTCTTCCCATTCTAATCTTTTAAAAGTATCTTCAAGAGCCTGATTGAAAAGTTTCGGTGATATTGTATCACCCTATCTCATGCCTCTATTTATTTGTATTGATTTTGTTCCTTCATATACTTTAATTGTTGTTTTGGCTTCCTTATCTATACTGGCTACTAGTTCCGTATATCTGTGGTCAATTCTGCTGTTAATCAAAGAACTTTTTACTGCCCAATGTTCGACTCTGTCGAAAGCCTTTTCGAAATCTATGAACGCCATACATAGAGGAATGTGGTATTCATTTGCTCGTTCTATATGTATTTTCATACTTGGTAATGGTCACTTTTCCACCATATTTCAGCATCTCTGCAGTTATTCCATCTTTTCCAGGCGATTTGTTTTTAATTTCTTTCAATGCCTTCTTTATTTCTGATTTGCTTATTTCTGGCTGTAGCTCTGAGTTGACATTTTTTATTTTAACCTTAAGTTGGTTTTTAATTTCTTCGGGTGGTTCCTTTTTTGTTTTATATAATTCTGAGTAGAAATGGTGGATTATATTTATGATGTCATCTTTAACGTTTGTTTCTACTCCATTTACATCTTTTATTTTATTTATTTCAAACTTACCTAATTTCGACCTTAGACATTTCATATTTTTGTTGTTATGTATTACTTCTTCTATTTTTCTTTCTTGTTTTTTTCTCTTATTTTCTCTGCTTATTGTTTTATTGATTTCTACATATTCCCAACAATATTTCTACATATTCTACATAAACCCAACGACGTATTACGGTTAATTCTTATGTTATAATTAAAACGGTAAACGGTTGTCTCGGAAAAAAGCTTAAACTGAAAACACGGCCAAAATTCACCAAAGTGGCAGTGTTTTCGAATCTGGCGTTTTCTCATATTTTTTTATGGTAAAACAATACCATGAAACAAGATATGAAGCAAACACCAATTATGGTCACGCAGGCATTCGTTAAGTAAATTACGGCAACGAAACAAAGGCAGGCGCAATTCTGTCTGAATAACAAATAACGGTAACATTTAGCATATGGTGTAACAGTTTTCTCTGCGTTTCTGTCCCAATTATGTGGGTTAGGTAATTTCTCACAATAAAACAGTTTGGCAGTAGAAAGGTCCAAGCAAAAGTCTGAGGACGAGTGGGGAGCGTAAACCCGTGAAGGGGGCTCCCAGGTTATAGGAGACCCTATCTGGGAGCCGGATCAAGACTAGACTGCCTTGTCTTGGAAAATGCACCCTTTTTATAAATTTTTCTTTCGTATCGATACGTGCATTTCCAAGTCAATTGGCAAATCGTAAGTTGTGTAGAAGTTAAAAAGCGGGGCGATGCGCATCGACGTGATCATTGGTCTACAGACTAAGGCACGCGATGACCACCTATTTTTAACTCAGAAAGATTTAATGCTACAGAGTTTTGAAGGTATAAATCAAGAACTAAATAAATAATAAATAAAGATTTACGAGATAAAAATCTCGTATCTTGTCAGCTTGGCTAAGATCAATAAATAACATATGTGTCCATGTTGTGTTCCACGAGCTGTTATATTGTTTGTTTTAGACAGAAAAGATCTATGCAAGAAATACCAAACCAGTACGAAAGCCACTCTGACCTTGAGCGTCTTCCCAACAATCTTCAATTCGGCTTTTAATGATCTTCCTATACATCCTACAGATTAAGTTATTTACACAAAGCCCTCGTGATATCATACACTTCTTTCTGTCCCCTTTATTCTTGCAATACATGCATCTCTTCACATTTCAAGAATAAATTTCAAAATCTAAACCAAACAAGTCTACAAAGCACAACTAAGAAAAAGAATTTAATGAGCAAGTAAAAATTTTGCAAGATTTCGACGCAGATGTTGCTCGTATAGTGCGGTTAGCTTATCCAGAGGCATCAGACAACATTTTGGAAGAAGTTGCTGTAGATACCTTTATCAATGGGTGAGCTACAGAAAGCTTTACGACTAGCAAGACTGAAAGTTTTAGATGAAGCGCTCGGTATTGATTTGGAACACGAAACAGCTAGACAAACTTCACGGAGCCATCGAGTACGAACCATTGAAGAAGGCGACGAACCAAACGATAAACGTTTGAAACGATGCCGAAGAGACGCGAGCCCAAATGTTGGAATTGTGGTGACATATACTGACCCATAGTAACTGTTAATATTATGTCCTCTGGTGGAATTCATAGCTTGTACATCGAGGGTAGTAACGATAATAAATGTGGATCGTTTTTGGTAGATACAGGTGCTACAAGAACTATTGCACTACAGAAGTAGTACGAGGCTATCTTAAATTATCGCCTGCAACAGTAAGGCATAAAACAGCAACTAGTGGGCTAAGTAATACATATGTCGAGGCTAATATGTCAGTATCCATTAGTCAGACCACAGTTAAACACAGTGAGAAAATTCTGATGACCAGACTTGATGGTTACTGGCGAGAGGGAAGTTTAAGGATGATCGAAGGTGTGGACCATGCCGAGTTCCTTACGACAAAAGCTGGATGGAGAAAATTCATACGTAACATTAAAAAAAAGTTCATGTCTGGACATGTTTGGTAAAAAAATTAATTGATTCCGTTTTTATTGAAGGTGCGAAGACCGATACCAAATATCTTGATCTCTATAATCAAATTATTCTTGAAATAAAACGTTTGTTTTCAAACATGATCATATACTTTCAACAAGATAGTGCACCCGCATTATCAAATATGTTAGGCAATATTTAAATACCATTTTCTTCCATGTAATGGTCGAAGATATCTGATTGAATAGCCGGCAAGATAAACAGACTTGACATCACTTTTTTTATCCGGAGTTACTTGAAAAACTGTGTTTATGTTAACAGATTATTTAATTCTATTCATCGTGAAATGCAGGTAATTACTGTAGAAATGTAAAATAATTTCTATTCCAAGCTTCCACGATAAACTGTATCATTGTTAACACACAAATATATGGTATTTTGAGCATTTATTGTAATGGATGTAATGCAATCAATTATTCAGTTTGATGTATGGTAAAGTGGCAATTGTTTACAAATTACACTTTGAAAAAATTTCCTTTACTTATTTAATTGACTATTTATTATTATGTTACGTTACATAATAATATTCATTATGTTCAAGCTACGTTGTCATTAAAAAAATAAATAAATAAATAAATAAAATATGACGGCGATAGAGGAAAGGGTGACAAAAAAGGAATCGTTCAAATTTAAACGATCCTCTAAAAAATTCAGAACAGAATGTCATTATGTAACCCATAAATTCATAATTATGAATTTATTTATTTCAAAGATAGCATCTAATTGATAGAGTTTTTTGCAGTCCTGAACTTGTATACATAGACAATTTTCTACCGGATTGACGTTGGCTTAGGCGTTGGAGTACGCAGGTAGATATAACGAATATCCATCCGTCGAAGATTCACACACCTTCATTATAGGTTAATCAGTTATACCGTGAGTCCGTAAAAAACGGTCCATTGTCCGTTGACAAAAATGAACCTCTACAAATTCAATAAGAATGCGATAGTTAATAAAAGAATAATAATAAATAGCTAAAAGCTTTATGGACCGTCAACTTACTTTTACTTGTGGTCTATCGTTTCCATCACACAATATACAAATAAAGAAGCGTAACTTAACTCAACAAATAATAAGTTGCTTTCGTTTTACCATTCAACATTAAATGATTGTTTATCCTTTATCATGACATTTCCCTTTTTGGTATATCGAGGGTATGCACACAGCATAAGAAAATTAAAAAAGAAAATCAAATGTTTGTTAGTAGTTAAAAAATTATGTAACTAAAGCGCCAATAAGCGTGGCAAAAAATAAGCCCACGCCTACCTGTTTATTCTCCTCAAGGAAGAAAGCACTATATTTCGTTGGCGTTGACTAAAAAAAGTATAATAATTAGTATTTCTATCTCTAATCTTATTAGTCAGTGTGGACCATTTAGGTTGGAAACACCTCTATAAAATTTGAAATTGTTAACCAATTTTAACCATTTTTTAAATATCACGTAAAAGATCTACTTCGAGGTGTAATTTAAAATGTTTACTTAAACCTCCAGAGCATACTACGATATTTTTTCTTAGTCAAAAATGGAGAATTTCCATTAGCAATTATTTTATTAAAATTAATCCTACGCCACTGGTTTTACAGCAGCTTCAAAGACAAAAATTCCATTCAAATATATTTATTAATAACGAAATTAAATTTTTAAAACTCACTAAGCTATGAGTCACAAAAGAGCACCCTGTATCAACAAATAATCATAAAAATTATTATTTTTGAAGTGGTTTTAATGAGAAACTTTGACTGTGAAGTAAAAACTTCTTGTGTAAAATGATATAGATTTATTAAAATTTTTTAAAAATATCCAAAATGGATTTATTAATTTTCTGAACGTTTGCAGTCCTATCGGACCATTATCAATGACAAGCGTCTACAAGGTGATTGATTAGTGTGAGGAAGCTCAGTAGATCTGTTATAGTAAAAATTACAAAAAAGAGTTATTGACAAAAATTGTAAACTCCACATTTTAAAATTAGTTACAATCTTGCAGGGTGTTCCATAAGATGGTGGCAGACCAAATATTTTATGTTATATTATGTTATGATGGTAACATCGATGTTAAATGAAAACACATATAGTCCTTTTCCATCATATTGATAGCACATTATGTATGCAAATCCTCAACAGGTCAAAAAACCATAGGCATCACCCTATACTTGTTTTGAAAAAAATAAAAAAAATAAATAATTTAAGACGCCGTCAACAATTCATTATCTTTTAAAAAATCTTCTGTAAAATAAGTGTCCACTAATCTCACTACACCTTTTCTGTGCGTAAAAAACGTCGGTATATATGCCACACAATTATTGCTAATAATACACAGGTGATTAATGAGAGAATTCAATGTTTCACGGAATAAATTAATGTAAACAGTAATTTAAAGGTGATTATTGTTTTCTATACACGTTATCGCCTGACACAAAAAGAACACCTTCTTTGAACGATTACCTGGAATTACTGATAAGGCTTCACTAATGACAGTTTAAGTATAAAGAATAAATATTTTAGCAAAAAGCTGCTATCGCTTTGTTGTATTAAATTGGCCAAATATATGGCCTAGGAGGACAAATTCGTTAAACTTCCCGTGCTCGAATCGGTATCACTAAAGTGTTATGATCATTTCGGCCTATCCCAGCCATCGTCAGACACTTGGGCTGATACAAATTCAAACACGGAATGTGTTACAAATACAAATTCGTTCTACTTTGTCTCATGTTGTTCATACTAAATTCTTAGGAGGAATTTGTCCTCCTAGGCCATATATTTGGCCAATTTAATACAACAAAGCGATAGCAGCTTTTTGCTAAAAGATTTATTCTTTACACATTTCGCATAGCCCAGAGGTAGAAAACGATGTGATTATATCGTTTTCGTTCACGGCCGCCAAAGCAGGTGGCGCCTCTGCTCGCAAACCACTACAGTGGTGAAGCTTTGGGAGACATTCGTTCTACTTTCCGTGTTTGAATTTGTATCAGCCCAAGTGTCTGACGATGGCTGGGATAGGCCGAAATGATCATAACACTTTAGTGATACCGATTCGAGCACGGGAAGTTTAACGAATTTGTCCTCCTAGGCCATATATTTGACAGTTTAAGTAGTTTTTATGCCACATTACAGCTTATGCCAATAATATAAATTAGAAATTGTTTGCATCTTCCATTTAGTTTGTAGATGTACATTGTTCATGTCTTACCTACCTACGTTTTTGGTGTCGATATTTTGTTATTTGCATTTAAAAATGACGTTGACAACAGTTCAAATATGACAGGGCTTGGAGAAGCAACAATTTATACATTCCTAAAAGAAAGAAAAGGGGGAACTGTTTCATCTCCCAAGAAGAGTGGAGGTAGTAAACCCTTGGAAATTGAAGAAATACATAAAAACATGATAAGACTCAGCGTCCACTCATTTTTTTTTAACTAAGAATTTCCAACACTGGACAAAACCCAAACTTTAATTAAAGAAAACGAAGAGCTACCAATCATAAGCAACAAGAAATTATGAGGACTATTGAGAGAGATGGGATTTCGTTGGCAAAAGAATAGAAGAAAATCCGTTTTAATTGAAAAAGATTACATTGTATGTTGAAGACGAGATTATCTAAGAACTATTAAAAAGTACCGAGAAGAAGGGAAAACAATTTTTTATTTGGACGAGACTTGGCTAAATGAAGGTCATACATATCTATGGGTTGATACAAATGTGAAAAGTTCCCGTCAGGCATTCATCGAAGGTGTATCTACTGGAATAAACAATATTCCCGTTGGAAAAGGACGCAGACTCATAATAACCCATATTAAAAACGAATACGGTTTTGTCAATGATGGATTATTAAGTTTTGCCTCAAAATCAACCAAAGATTACCACGAGGAAATGACTGCTGACGTTTTTGAAGAATATTTTGAGCAAATGTTGGATTTAATTCCAAAAAATGCTGTCATAGTCATGGATAATGCTAGTTACCATTCAAGACTAGCAGAAAAATTGCCAACAACGGCATGGAAAAAAAGATAGAGATAATCGAATGGTTGGATAAACACGCAATTGAGTACAAGGAGAATTCGACAAAAAAGGAATTATTACCTATTGTAAGGCAACATAAAGCAGCTTATAAAAAATATATAATTGATGAAATGGCATTAAACCGTGATGTAATTATTTTACGTTTACCCCCATACCACTGTAATCTGAATCCGATAGAAAATATATGGTCTCAAGTAAAGGGCGAAGTCGGACGCAACAACAAAACTTTTAAATTAGAAGACTTACAACAATTATTAGAACATTCCTTATCAAAAGTAACTCCAGAATTATTTTATATATACCCAATAAAATAAACATCTTACATTTATTGCAAATTCATTAGTACCTGTTAATCGCCATCACTCCGAAACTGGCAACTTTATTTAGGAATTAGTAACCCTCAAAAATATTGTATTCTATTCTGCTTCAACCTTTATACCTGGTGGTCATACTCCATTTAAAATTGTTTTCCTATATACTTCTGTAAACTTGTTGACAAATATCTATTTTTCATTGAGTCACCCGTATCAACAGTTTAAGGATTTGCATACATAATGTGCTATCAGGTATGATGGAAATGGACTATAGACGTATATATATATATATATATATATATATATATATATATATATATTAATATAGACCGAGCATACGGGCCGCGTGTGCTGACGACGAGATCTCTTGCGATTTTTCGATCTGTCTCTCTCTAACGTATTGACATTTTTCACTCTCTCACTCCTCGCCCGAAAGAGACGCCGCTATACTTGATATAAGAGAGAGGCACAATGAACAACAAAAAAAAATGGTGTCACCAATGGAGGCCATACACGTTAGGGTTTGCATGATGGTTTTAACCTTGCATGTATAACCGACAGGTATAACCGAGTTCCATATTACACATACACGTTACGGGACGGTGTGTGCACGACGCCTACGGTACTTTGTGCGGTATATACCTACCAAACTACAATGGAAGACAACGATATGATAGCTGTACTTGGCATAACACTTATTCTTCAGAAAAGAAAAAAAAAGAGAGATCGCACTGAATGGTCTAAACGGTGGTTATTAAAAAGAAATCATTTCTCCCACGTAAATTTGATAAATGAATTGAGATTTAAACCAACAGATTACAAAAATGATTTACGAATGGATGAAGAACTTTATTTGAAACTATTATTACTGATTACTCGGTTAATACAAAGACAAGATAATGTTATGAGGAAAGCAATATCAGCTCACGAGAGACTAGCAGTAACATTAAAATTTCTTGCTACAGGAAGAACATACGAGTGTCTGAAATATTCTGATATTATATCACATCAGGCTCTGGGCCGAATAATACCTGAAACATGTGATGCTATGAGAACTATGGCAGGCAAGCTCGCCGGATGCCACACACGCTAGGGTATGCTCGCAGGCAAGCAAAACCGAGCGGCATAAAATATGAATTTTCATATTTGCTCGGTTGTATCTACATGCAACGATAACTGTATAGTTTTATCACATACACGCTAGGGCTTGCCTGTCGGTTATGCATGCAAGGTTAAAACCATCATGCAAACCCTAACGTGTATGACCTCCATTAGCTCTAGAAACTGCTCAGTCTATTTTAATATATACATTTATGTAAAAACATCAAACGTCATCTAAGTATATATTAGTGCTTTCACTGGCTGGTAATTATATAATGACACTATTATTGAAGTTACCCGGTAAATCCCAGCGACGAAACAGGATAAAAGGAAAGCTGCTATTAAAACTAATATTTTTACAAGATAAGCATTATTGGGGCTTATAATTTTAATATATGACTTGTTTGATTTTTTTTCCAAAATTTGGTTATGTTTAAGATATCTATCAAACGATAATTTTTAATTATTTAATATTAGGCTTTTAATTTAAGGTTTTAATTAGGTTTAATTTAAGGTTATACAGTCACACCACGTTTTTCAGCAATTAAATCACGTTTATATAATACTTATTTAATTTATTATTTTTGCAATATTCATGATCATTCGGATATCATTATTCATTATCATTTGTAAAAACATTGATGTTTCTATAACATCGATGATTTCTTTTCGATGTTATAGATACTGTTCACCTTCGATATTACCGATCTATGTTTTTAGCAATGTCGCATCCTGTTCTAGACCAGAACAGATAATAGTCTTTCTTAGAAGTCTAAGACTAGATGTTCTTGGACTAAAACATGTATGTAGGGATATAAAATTTTTTTTTAAGTAGTTAAAGACTAGGCGTATTAATAAAAAAAAATTATATTCTGAAAACGATTTGCGATCTGAAAAGCTAAAAATTCTCATAAAGAGTTTATTTTGTGGTTGACATTTTGTTCTCAACGATATATATGTTAAAAGCTAAAGGTCATAAGCAAACAGTTTCAGAACAATATGTAGCTTTCTATTTAAAATCACTTAATTACAAACATTTTATTGATTGATCTCAATAAATTGATTTTCATTTTTATATCAAGGTTTTTTTAATAACATTTTAATGTTATAAAATTTGTGAATTGGATATGTAAAGAAGACTATTCACAGATAATATTGAGTCTGAACTATCTAATATATAAATATTAGTTGTATTGATATTTAAATGATCAACAAAAAAAATTAGTTGATGCATTGTGCAAGTACAATAAACTTTTATCATTTTCTGTTATATTATTTAACTTTTACTTGAACAAATACTGACCAATTTATATAATTGTTGATATAATACGATAATTTAATTGATTAATAGTAAAATATTAGTCTGGAAATTATCTATTTGTCCTTTTTTTATTTTAAAACAGATATGATTGAATCCACAGGAAATAACTGTAACAGGGTATGAAAGAAGTGAATATCCCCAATAAGTGTATTATGTAGTCTAATAAATATGACTTTATATGGAATAAAAAATAATAGATAATAGGGAAAAGCAAAAAAATAAAGAAAGGACAGAATAATAAACAATCAGAATGCCCACTCTCAGATGCCGCCTTTGAAGTTTTTCAGCACGCGCGCCATGTTTTAGAAGGAACCACATAACACAGGCATATGATTGATGAGGTTATGTAATTGTTTATATTTATGTTTAATTATATATTTTTGTTATTAATAATGTTTAATGCATATTTAAATACATTTAATAATATTAATATAATTGTATAGTATGTCTATGATTGCCGTAAGTCAATTAAACCGGGATAATTTTTCTATGCACACAACATAAATTTTCACTAAACAACACTGGTTCCCTTTAAAACATGGAGGAACGTCTGTGCGAACGAGATGCGCGTACTTAATTTTCCATGGAGAGTGGGCATTCCGATTGTTTATTATTCTGTGAAGAAAGCAAGTTTTTGGACATAAGTGCTATTCAGCATATTTAACTGGGTATAACAACTAATTATAGTGGAAACTAATGAGTAAGTCTTCTAATGTAGAATTACATAAAAAGGGATTTTGTTTCGAATTTATGATTTAAAATATCTTTCCCAAATCACTTTGGAAATTCATTTTATATAACAATAAATCACTGAAAACTTTAATGGGAAAAACCCCGTAATTGGCTGTATACCATCGTTTAAAAAAACACAGAAGTTAAAACACTTCACAATTGTGTATTTTGGTATAAAAACATACAAGTACTTAAAAACTTTTTAAAAGTGTCGTCAACATTTAAAATTATGGCAGAACGTTTTCAATCTATACAGATCATCTTCAGTGCCTTTGGTATTTGGTGCTAACAATATGGTGTCTGTAAGACACTTTTAAAAAGTTTTTAAGTACTTGTGTTTTTATACCAAAATACACAATTGTGAAGTGTTTTAACTTCTGTGTTTTTTTTTACTGAAAACTTTGTTTTCAAAACTTCCACAAAAATTTACTATATCTTATCACTACAGCTGTTTGCACTTGAGAAAGGCACTCTGCTGAAACAGCTGTAATGATAAGATATACCATTTTTCAAAGTAAAACACTTGCACGTCACGATTTCTACAAAGTGACGTCGCTTGAATTTAAAATTAGAACATTAACCTTCAAACAGTTCAAATTTTCCTAACACAGCTAATAATATGAAACCCATACGGAACTGCTCGATCTTTCATAGGCGTCAACATGGTGTAATAATCAGAAAAATGTAATCATCATTATATTGGAAATTTTAGAATTATATTGATTAAATAACCAAAAGTTTTTTAAGTCTAATATTCCACAAAATAATAATTTTAATTTAATATATTAGACAATTGTATGCAACTGATACGGAAATACTTCCAAATTTATTGACAGTACAGCGGATGGTGAAAGTGTATTAAGTGTTGCCGCTTTTTTAGAGAAGGAATATTGTTTATGTTTTGATTTCTTACACAATTTGATCATATTATAATATATATTAATAAATTGTATTTATAAATACATATTAAATTTAGATTAATAGCTTTAAAAACTAATTATTGTTGTATTGTGATTGTGCTATGCCAAAACAAATAAATAGTCTGTAGAAAGCTGATAAGGATTCATATAAGATAGATTATTTTGAACCATAAAAAAATAAAAATGAACCAACTAGATTAATAATTACGGTATTAAATTAAAACTTTCAGAATAAAAAGTACAGTCTAGTAATATACACCCTCATTGATCTATTAGAAAAATAACAAAGAATATTCAACAGACGTAATATATACATAGAACAAATTACTAAATATAGACAAGAAAGTGGGCAAATTTACTATTTAAAAGAAGCTTGGTATGATACCCACGATACAGTTAAGAAAGGATGGAGGGATGGTTCAAAACAAGTGCAGTCAAAATTGCCTGTAAATAAATTATCGCAGCTAATTATTGTACATTGCGGAGGAAGTGAGGGATGAATTCCAAATGTTTAGGCTTCTGAAAATTATGTGGGAAGAAAATAGAGGATTGTAACGTTGACCACCAGAAGAGTATGAAAGCCGATATTTTTGAAGATTAGTCAGAAAACTTACTGCTTCCAAACTTGGAGTCAAATAGTGTAATAGTGATTTACAATGCTTTCTATCATTCCTGACAGCTCACCAAATACATCTTTAAAGGAGGCTTAATTGCAAAGCATTTTAATGGAAAATGATTTGTATATTGAAGATTTTTATGTATATAAAAAAAAACAACTTATTGAAGTTCTATAGACCAGCCATGATGTATGGCACTGAATTTTGAGCAGTTAAAAAGAAAAAAGAACAACCAATGAGAATGTCTAGATAGATGAGTTAAGTGACAAAAAAATTTGAAATCAAGGAATAATATATTAGGAAAAACCCTAATTGATCCCAAAATAAAATAGTATAGGTAAATATGGTTAAAGCATGTTTAATGCCAAAATAATAATCACCCAATATGAAAAATCTCTAAATATCAAGGTCCTGAAAACAGTAGAAGCAGAAGAAAGCAACATATTTATTAATAAATGTAATTAAGAACCTGACCTTTCATATGTATAAAGGCAGAGAAAACTATGATGTAAAACATGTTGCTGAATTTAGCAGCTTCTTTTAAAATTTTTATCCAAATTGACATACATTTTACAGAGGAAATTGTGCAAGTTCTAATTGTTTATAAATCAACAATTAGTAAATCAAAGAATTTATTTTACCATTTTGTAGTGTATTCCCAAAAGTATATTTGAAGAAAACTTGTCACAAATAATTTTTAAACAATATTATCTAACATAGCTTCGTAGTAATATAAGCATGACTAATGACTTTATTTGACAGTATTTTTATTATTTCCTCAAATTTCTCTTCCCTTTTTGAACTAGAAGCAGTGATCACATAAAAACTAATTAAAAAATATACCACACATGGATAGAAAGAATAAAATATATCCAAATGAACCTACTTAAAATGTTTGCATTTTAAAAAGTTAACAATACTTAACTGTATCGAAAGACTTGTTCATCTTAAAAGCTACACACTGTTCTTTTTTGTATATTTTTTAGGTTCCAACTAAGCAATATAATAGAATATATTGTAAGTCTGTACATTGATTTGCAAATAACAAAGATAGCTAACCAAATTAAGTTAATTATATTCATATATTCTCCCACTATCCTACTCTAATAACATTTTCAAATACTTACCTCTTTATTGGTTCTTAAGGAACTGGCGGCAGCTTGATTAAGCTTTTCTCTGTATAATTGGGCTGCTCTAGAATTATATTTCTTCTGAGCATCATTAGTATTACAGTTATGTTGACTAAAGAACTGCAACTGAAAAAAGGAATATGCTTAGAAAAAAAAATATTATATACAACTAATTACTTGGAAATCATAAAAAATATATGTTTAAATGTAATAGCTCCTATTTAATTTCATCTTTGGATTTCAAACCTGCTTTATGTATCATATTTATATTAATGGTTTATGATATAATAATTAGTGTCTAAAAGATTTTTACCTGCTGTTTTAATCTCTCTACAAGTCTGACTAGTAGACTAATGACTACTTGTGCTAAATACTTGTACTTATAATACTACAGCTAATCAATATTATAATTTGCTTATTCTGTCTGTCTTTCCTTAATGAAAACCCCAGCGCCACCTATCCACAAAAACTACTACTAATTTAAATAACATATACATATGTCACTGGTTTATTATTAAGACATATTGATTAAATAAATATTTTTTATTTAATACAGGAATAACATTGTTTATAAAGAAATCAAGGCTTTGGAAAATTTATAACATAATATGTATTATCTTTAAATAATTTAGAATATGTATCACTCTTACATACTACATAACAACACTGCTTGGTTGTATTTTGTTGTACAGGTATCATAATAATAATGGATTAAAAAAATTATTTGCTAATTGAGGCACTGTTCTTTATTTTCACATTTCTTTTTTTTTGGCTCTTGTTCTTAATATATTTGAAAAGTTATTGTTTGTTTTGAAAGCTGGTGCTATTCCGTTCTCTTTTATGTGTTTAGCTATTTTTGTTCATATCTTGCCTGTATATGTAATCAATCAAAAGATACTTGGTTTTTCTCTGGTGGTGAAGGGACTAATAATTTCAGGTCTTTTTCATACAGTTTTTGGCTTAAAATATTTTGTTTGTTATTCATTATACCCATCAGTTACTGATTTTTGCTTAATGCTATCCAATAATGCTTATTTGTATTCAACAGGTATACTAGCTACTCCTGGATATCTCCACTTCATGGTTTGTTCCAGTTTCACTGCTATTCAATTTGATCTTGAAGTTATTTTTTGATATGGGAATTTCTATTAATCTATGTAACATGCTATGGTAGGCTGCTAATTTATGTGTAGGGTAGGAAAATGACTTATGTATAGTTATGTCACTATAGGTAGATTTATTAAAATATGGAGAACTCCTATTTGTTTTTAAGTCTGATAATTTTTAGATCTAGAAAATGTGTGGATTGATCCTGTTCTATTTATATTGCAAATTCAATATGACTATAGAGTGAATTAATGTAAAATAAGAAATTGTCAAGTTTTCTGTTAGTTCCTATAAAGTGTGCCAGTATATTGTCCACATATCTACACCAATATAAAAACTGTTTGTTTACAAGATGTTTTGAAATATTTGTTTCTAGATGATCGATAAAAATATCTGATAGGAATATGGATACTATCTTTTAAATTAATTCTCAAATTCCATATGTATGTTAAGAGCCATTGCCTTTATTTATTACAGTACATACAAATTATGGAAGAAAGGTAATAGGGTAGATGAAACATACATGATGGCTAATTAGTACTGGAGTATTAACAGAGACAGAGCTATTCATACACACACCTGAAAATTGCTTAACAGAAAGTTTTTAGATAACAGGCAATAGCTACTGTCAAATTATAACATTCATATAGAGAAATGGGACTAACTAAATACAAATAGGTGGTCACATTTTTTTGAAAATGAGCTGGTAAAGAAGATATGATGGTATTTTTGGATTAAGTGCACCAAACATTTTTAAGAAAAGACAAAAAACTGTCTAGCACCAAAACATGTGTTGAACAGTGTTAGTAATTTGGATTGACAAATATTAACTATTTGTAAATATGTTAAGGTACATACCGCATTACTATTGCCTCCCAATTGCATTTGCCGAAGTTGCATTAAAGTCCAATTGGTGTCTAACTGAGTAGATCTTACAAAAGTCAAGTGTACTCCCAAACTCCTGTGAACTGCTGAGCAGTCTATACAAATGAAAACACCATATGTAACACTTGCCCATGTTGGATTTTTGGCTTCACAATCAAAACAAATCTAAAACATTTGTATTATTATCCAGGACACGTCATTTCAAATATGTAGAACATAAGCAAAAATATTGTGAAGCCTTACAGGTTCATACCTTGTTAGCAGGAATTGACCGCAACCTATTAAATACTGCTTGAATGTCTTCTTTGGTAGGCTGGGTGTCCATGTTCTTAAATGTTTATATAATATGTTAAAGTTAAATTAATATGAATAACTAACACAACCAATATATTGTTGGAATTAGAAATTTGACTTTTGTATGACGTTGAGAATGTCAATGACAATTTATGACATGACATCTGATTTATGTCTTAATAAAGCGCGATGTTCGAATACATTACACTGGATATGGAAAGGGAAAAACTATGTTAAATGAAGAATTATATTTATTGTGATTTTAGTATTGGTTATAAATTATTGAATATGTGAAATAGTGAATGTGAATGTGTCACTGAACAGCACTGGTTCCGTTTAAAAGATGTTCCAAATTTACTAAATTATCAATCTCTAAAAATTTAAATTACAGTTTTGTCACAAATTTCTCAATCCGAGTCTATGTTTCCGTTTAAAATATGGCGATCGCGTGCTAACACACTTCAAAGGTAGCATCTGCGAATGGGTATTCTGATTGTTATTTATTCTGTGCTAAATATTTGATGGCTAGAAACGATTCATAGTGAACCGATGTCAAGAACTGCTATTTTCTATGACCCTACGACGTATAACATACGTCATTGCTATGACCCAACCGTGACGGCACCATCTTGTTCGTGACGCTCACCTTAGCATTTTACTGTAGAGAAAAAAACAGAAAAAGTAATACAACGCCACTATAGAAGCTTCTCTTCACAAATAATCACAAATTAATATTCACAACTAATCAGTTTTACATATTTAAAATACATATTAAATACAAACAATTGGGGCAAAGTTTTTATTGATTAATAAAAATTAATATTTAATTTGTTAAGTGGTTTTTATTCACAACATAGAGTGTAAGATTTTTTGCAACTGTAATATTTATTTATTTTTGATGTTTTTCTTTTTGCTCTAATGATTACGGAGTTACATTTGGAACGAAGTATTCTTGTCTACTCGTACATATCCTATTGGTGGGCGATTTTGCCCTTCCCCTATGTTAAAAAAATCAAGACCAACTGTCATCTGTCGTTGTAGTCATACTGTATTCCGGTTATTGCTTTTTGATCATAATTCAATTTTGGAAAGTTTAAAACTCTGAATAACACTGTTATTAAATACCAGGTATGAATTATCCAGTTAAGTAAGACATTATACATAAATTAAAAGATATTAATTTATTTGTTAACGAGATTATAAGTTCAGTTTTAAGCTACGTGGTCATAACTAATTTTGCTAGTTCATGAGTATAAATTTATATATCTTCTAAATAATAAATTATGTTAAAATAAATTGCTTCAAAATGTTAAAGAATTATAAGTTAGTACCCTCCTAAAAATAAGTACATAAGTTTTATTTGGTAACCTATAAATTTTTATATAGCCAATTACAATCTCATAATTCAATTAGTAATTTAGGAAGCACTATTTCCTGAGTCACTCACCTTGTAAATACTCTATATTAAGTAACCAACCCTTTATTCACTTAAACACTTATAATTTATTACAGAGTTGTATGCCTTGTGGATATAGCAATGAATTGTAGGATAAGAACTCTCATCTTGGTGGTTTTATTAATAGGTGGAGTAATAGGTGATAATGCTGAGGTAAGTACTTTTCTATTTATATACAAAAAATTGTTAGAAATAGAAATATTCCAGCAAAATACACACTCTTTTGAATTACCATGTTTTTTAAAAATCATGAAATTATGGGTTCAATATTATAACAATAGATGATTTTCATCCCTACAACATTAAAACAGTAGGTACTAGTGTAGTAAGAAGGAACAATGTCTGCAGAGATGAAATTCATATCAATGAATTCTGTTATATTTACTGATGATTGTATAGGATTATTTTTATTCTCTGGAAAACGTTCTTTTTTATGTACGATTTCTTTATGGAAAAAAACAATTTATAAATTCCTAATTTAGAAGCCACCCCACAAAAAAAATAAGCAACATGCCACGAATGGAAAAAACTACACCTTTTGTGGTGAAATCTAATATTACTTGTATTGTTTTAGCCATCCACAAACATCAGATCTCATAATAATATATTTATTAGATATTGATTTTAACAGGTATTTCCATAAATTATTACTTTTATTTAGGTACTTTGTCATAAATTCTTTGAACTGAGATACTTTTGTCTTTACCATTAGTTATATAAACACCAGATTATATATTTATATAGCAATGCAATAAAGTATGTTATTTTTAAATGAAATTTTAAACATTTTATATCTTAAAAGTGGTTATATCATTTTGGGAATAAAAACAGGTGGCCACTAAATATATCCATCAAATTGTTGAGAAAAGACAAGAATTCAATGTGGAAACTTACCTATGCTTTGTAGACTATTCTAACTTAGAAATACTTAGAGAAATAGGAGTGTCATAACATTTGATTTGGCTTCTAACACCATGGAAACAACATTACAGTATGAATACTATATCAGTTGTACCCAACTTAAACTATATAAGTTTAAGTTGGGTACAGGAGTTAGCCAAGGATGTGTATTGTTGCTACTGCTATTTAATATATGTATATAGTGAGTATATCACATAAACAGTTTTAATGGCTGGGATTGAGGATTAGTTGTGGGAGGGCATAAAAGTAATAACCTAAGATATGCAGATGACACCCTGATATTAGCTGCACCTCAGAAAGAACTAGAACAGATAATGCAGATACTCAACACTGTAGGTCAATACAGACTAACAATTAATGCAAATAAAACAAAAGTTATGATAATTGATCAATCTAGAAATAATCAAGTAGAAAAGCACAGCGGGATATGAACTAGTGGGGATGTTCAACTACCTAGGATCCATAATAACAAATAATACTAACAATGGCTATATTAGCAACAGCAAAACTGACAAAAACACTTAAAAGACACAGACATAACTAAAGACAAGAAACTTTGCCTTAATGTGCACTGGTATTCCCTAGTGCAACTTATGCCTCTGAAATGTGGACTATCAAGAAAGCTGACTAAACAGAATCAACCCCTTTCAGATGTGGATATTCAGGAGAATATTACAAATTTCATGGACAGCACATCATACAAATTAGTCTATACTTTAAGAACTAAATATTGAACTCATTGTACCCACTTCAAAAATAAATAGAAATATACTTTTGTCATATCACTTGATGGAAAAAGGGCATGGAAAGACTGAACATCAAAGGCAGATGATCAAGAGACAGACCTCCTTGTGGTCTCCAGTGGTCTTATCAAAGTTGGTTGTTTTACAGAAACTAACAAATTTAATTTCTGTTTTTTATTAAAATGATTACACACAAAAAATATATGTATTTACATATTAATATTTATGTGGTCGTCAGAGAAAAAAATAGTTATAACTATTTATAATTTTAGTTATCACAAATGTCTTGATTGTTTTTGATTTTTATTTCTATGGTAAGAAATACAGACTGAGTTATGCGAATGACACAAAATACTTTTCATAGTATCATCATTAAAATTAAAACAAAAACATTCAGCATTTCTACAGGTTTGAGAGCTTCAATTACACTCAAAGTGGTACAATCTTCTTTTATTTCTGTTATTATAGCACCTATCTTGGCTGTTGATGATATTTTGTAGAATATTTTTGTCCTGACATGTCACAAAATCATCTTCAACAGCAGAATATTGTTAAAGTTCTTCATTTCCTATCAGTAGTCTTATATTCAGGAGTCTCACCCAGACATACAGAAAACCAAAAAAGTGGCACATGATCATCATCATCATTGTGAACAGCTATTGGGACTGAACAAATCCTGTGTGTTTATAACAGTTAAAAATTGTCACTAATGTAACCTTGTTCTAGGCATCGTAAGTCATTAGAATGTCACATCCAATATTGTGATCTTCGCATGCTTGGTACCAGTATCTATCTTCATTTGTATAAAGACTGACAACAATTTTTAGAATGAGGTTTTTATGAAAGTTTGATTATAAAACTTGAATTATTCTTTGGTCCATACATTGCAATACATATGTTGTATTACAAGGCAGGAAAATGAAAGTTATGCTTCTGAAGTTGCAGATTGAGGGATAAGCTGGACACTTCTCAACCAGTAGCAGGATTTTTTGCTTCATTTTAGTCAGTTCACAGATCATACACTTTTAAAACATCTTGAGTTATTTGACTTGCAGATAATTAACAACTTTTTTATCGTGCCACTAAAAGTTAGCGGCAACCATCACAGCTATTCTATCATTCGAAAGTTTTCCTCCCGAGCATTTTTCACCTCTTAAATTTTAATGTTTTATCTGGCGTTAGTTTATAGGATAATCCAGTTTCTCCCGAAAAAAAAAATTTCTTCAATGAAAAACCATTTTCGTTTTATATGAGCCAGTTTTGTATGCATACTCTCTAATCACCCGCAAATTACTGCTGGATAATAAACAGTCACATCTCAATCAGTGATGTGCTTGAAAGGGTGATGTGTGGAGCAGTTAGCGTCTCACATATGATTTATTTGTAAACATGTCAATGCTTGTCTTTGTTGTAACTGGACAATATTGTGTGAAATTCCGTCGTTTAAAGCGCTCGGCCGTTATAAGCGGAGTCATAATAAAGGAATGCACTTTTATATTGACTTATTTTAAAATCAAACAGATTAGTCTTACATATGTCATTAAAAACAGTTGTTTGTTAAATTCAATGTTGTACAAGGTAGTAGAAGTCATACTGTACTTTGAAAAAATATTTTTACAAGAAACCTATGATTTCCTTTTTACTCAGGGTTTTCAGAATACTTACCAGTTCATTTAATGAACCACAGTACTAAAACTGCCATAATCAGAGTATGTTGTTATTAATACTTTAAAGATTCCTGTGTTAAGAGAGCCTGAATGAAGTGAGTACTTGTGGAGAAATACTAGGCTGAATTATTGTGCTTCTAAAAATATTGCAAGGCCATAATTCAACTGTTTCTCAATCAAATGAGTGTGTTGTGTAAAATTTTTTACTATATATTGAAACTATAGACTGAGTCATTCTAACTTTTCAATTCGCCACTATAAGCTACACGCTGCTGAGGATTAGCTAAGTTGCAATTATATTTATATTTATTGTCAATAAAAAAATTATGTTGTTATTTTCAATTATAGTAAAAACAATAAGATTTTTATCATTAAACTTAACAATTGGACCAAAATATTCCCCTTCATATAGTAGGACTTCCTTTATTATTTAATCTCATTAAATCTGATTTTAATTGGATGAATATTACATTACCTTGTAGATTTTGGTATTAAAAACAATCACAATAATTTTAGGTTTTTTTGAATCAAATATTTACAAAAGTATGAAGTGTACCACTTATTTTAAATGTTTTAACTAGTGAGTTGTCACTTATAGTTAGAGTGCCGTCGGCAAAAAGTTTATGATTTATACTCTCTTCAAACTTTGAGTATCGTTTCATTAGGCCTAGTTTGACACGGTTTTCCTCCGCGACTTTTTTGGTTCTGGAACGCATTTTTCTAATTTTTCCGAACATTTTTGTAATTTTCTCAATTTTACGAAATACCGAACAATTATAGGTACTGCTATTCTTTTGGCAATTACTATTTTTATTGGGAATAAGCCACAATTTAAGTTTAAAATAAGTTTATTTTTGACGTTTCAATTTCCACCTCGACAATTGTTCTCAAAATACAAAAGTTAATAAATTAAACAGATTTTGTTTTTTGTTAGGTAAGTACTTGGTAAAAAATTCTTCTAATAATTTAATTTTATCTGACTCACTCATATTGACAATTCAGATATTTAATATACATTTTAAAGTAGAAAACATTGCCAAGTTGGGTTCCTGGGATGACTTTATTGTAAGATAGTTCATTCGATTACATGAAATTGACTTTAACTTGAGAATATCCACCAGGAAAATTATAACATGTGATTCGTCTTTAAAAAGAAAACCACATGCTTTACTCTCAATAAACACCAAACTCTTATTTTAGATGTACCTATATTATTTAAAACCATAAATGAAGTACCCTAGATATGTTACTCACTTACTAATAGTGTATTTTCCTTTTATTATCTTCTTCTTTTAATATGGGTGACCAGATCATACTGCATTATGCCGAGGAATTTGTGACACAATTAATCTCCTTTAGCATGATTAGAGCCGCTTCTTTGATTTTTCTCTTTTTACCATCTGTTTCTTTTAGCACTTTACTTGCATTGTTCCATTGAACCCTAAGTTCATTTTCTCATGCGTGTTTACATATTTGAGATGTATCAAATTCTCTATTTTTAATATAATAGTGATGTTCACTTATTCTAACATTTAATGGCCTTGATATTTCACCTAAATAAAACTGATTGAATTTACAAGGTATTTTAAAAAATACAATTCTTTGTTCTTTCTTGTTCATTATTGGGTTTAGTTGTACATAAAATAGATCTCAATGTGTTTGTTGTTTTGAATGCTGTTGAAATGTTGAATTTGTCTCCTATCTTTTTTAAGTTTTTGTGTGTGCCGTAGAATCTCATTCTAAGTTGATTTGTCCTAATCGGCCGATTGTTGAAAATTCCTTATTTATAAACAATAAAAGATAATCATTTTGTTTTTCAAAT